TGCGGTATGGTCTCTCTACTCAAAGTTTTTGTAACTTTTAAGATCAAGAGATAAATAAGAGGTTATAGTATCGTAGGTCTGCTTCAAAATAAAATATATTAATATGACTTGACTATTTCAACCATTAATTATGTCATTTCAATGATATACGAAATGCCATGATATATAAAGGAATCACTATAAATACGAAATGAACGATATAATCAGCAATAGAATAAATGAATTTATTCATTAAATATTAATGAATTATTGAACGACACTCGATCAACACTCGACTCGCATAGCTTGCAAATTGCACGGCCGCACCGTGCACCAATATTGACTCTTAAAGTGTAATTACCTTTATTTTCTGATTATTTTTTATTTACAAATGGTTATTATTTACATAGTTTTCATTTACAAACGCTTGCTAAAACATCCAATCAATCGAATAAAATTATATACGATAAAAAATCATTAAACGTGCATCAAGCGAGTCTCTAGACGATGAAATATATAATGTAAATGCAAGGACTCCTATTAGGTATTTTTAGCTTTAGGATCAGCGATATGATATTTATTTTTCAGGAAATGATCCACTCGAAGACTGTTTGAGTGATTGAAATTTCCCTATTTTGTAATTTATAAATGAAACCTAATATTGTATACGGCTGATGTTATTTTATATAGATAAAATACATGTCGAATTTCGTTTTGAATTTAAGTAGAAGTCTAAGAATGAACAATAAGGGGAATTGTACGAGCTATAATTAGGGATTATCATTAATAGGCATTATCATTGCATATCAGGCATTAAAATTGCACCAACTGCTAAATTCTGTAAAAAATACGCTCTTGGAAACATTTGATAACTACTGAGGGAAAAAAGCTTCTTGTGCGTCTGCTTGTAGCACTTAAAGACAGATAACATCCAAAGATTATCTTAAAATCAGATGCTTTACGCTAAAATATTTTACAGTTATACAAGTCCTGGGAAACTGAGCATTGCACTTCAAGAGGTATAGACACTAAATTTGTTTTAGATGTAGACACTAAATGACTAATTATTTTAGTCATCATAAATTTGTTCAAACGATTTAATGTAGTTTCGAAGATCTTAAATTTTAAGTTCATGCGCCATTCGAATGAATACCAAAAAAATATTTGCTTTATCATTTAATTTGGCGAACCCTATGATTACATGGAGTTCGTGGACAAATATTTCATAAAAAAATATCCTGAGTTGTCAAGTCATTACAACCAATTGAAAAACGACATTTTTCAACTAATCCAATGATTCCATCAAACATTCCAACGAATATAACATTAATGGATAATTCATGTGCAATAATCAATGTAGTGACAGTGGTTTCATCATCATTACAAAATACTGGTTGTACGCTACTGATCTCGTCTAAATTATTTCTGAGCCATCGATAGTCGTATTTATTTCCGACACTTTCAGCCATTTAACCGACTGTAATGGAGCGTGTACATTAAACATTTACATACGAATAATACTGACCATACTTTATCACTGCATGCTGGAGATAAGCTCCGAACGTCGTTTAGGCAAAGACTTTCCAAAACAATCTTAGAAACTGGATTTTTTACAATAAAAATAATTTGTTCAGATGGAAAACTAATCCACAGTGTTAAGTTTCAATATATCAAGTCGGAGAAAATTGTAAATCATTCCATATTTTAAATAAAAACTTTGGTTCGGAGGCTTATGCTCAAAAAAGATACGTATAGAAATTTTGCGTGCTACATGCGCACCAAACGTATCGGTGTCATGTCCATGCGAGACACTGATGGATCAGGCATCTTCTTGTGGCCCAAACAACTCTATGGTGGCAAACTCGTCTATTCATTGAAGGATGCTTGAGCTCAATATGGAATAGTTCAAGCACATCATAATAATTTTAGTCTTTTCAGTAGTAATTTCAGTAATTTAGTCATTTAGTCGACTTGATTTTATTTGTAACATGCAACATTGCTAAAACACCGCACCCCCCGAATCAGTAGTCAAGGTTACAGTCCGTACCGAATATCCAGGTAAATCTATTCGAAGAATAAAATTTTTTACATAAAGAGTAAAAAATAAACCAAAAAACGAGAAATATCGTACCACAAGAATGAATTCATGTTCAAACTTCATTTTTGCTTTTCACAAATGTTCTGTACTTCCAAAATACAAAAAGTCGTACGTCATGCGTTATTTTTACGTTACGCAGAAGGTGTCGGAGAAACGTTCCTAATAAACTTTTCAACAGATCCATCTATCCTAATTTACGCGACCTCGGGAACAGACACGGCGTAAACAACTCAATTACAGAGCACTACCCACGATCTCACCGAAGTAACGTCGCTCTTAGCAAATTCCATGGAAACTAACTTTCATCGAAATTATTCCAACGCGCGAAAACTTTCCGCCAAATAATTCTTTCTTATTTTTTAGCCAAGAATATAACTTATTTTTATATGAGAAATAAATTTTGAGCTCGGTGCAAAAGAATATGAATGGAAATGTTTTTTGAATAATAATGAAGTTGTATTATTTAAACAAGCGCAAAAAAATTCAGCTGAGTTTAAAAGAACGAATTTTTTACATATTCTATATATATACAGTTAAATGTCTAAAGTGTGCATTGCATAAAATGTTTCTTAAGTCATGGTTAATCCCACTCATTTCACAAAATTTAACGTTCTACTAATATCAGCACAAATTTTGGAATAAAAAACACTCACTTTCAAAAACATTTTAGCACTTCGCACAATTTTGACTATATTACTGAATTGCATTTTTAATGCCGCAAAAAACAGCAATGCATTCAACGTAAAAAAAATTGCTTCATTATATGTGAATATACAATCAGATTTGAACTTAACTGAAAGAAACAGCAAATGAAACAGCAATTCGTACTTTATATTAGAAACGCAAAATGTACCTGCAATGCTGTCCCAATTCCTACTTTCTTTGGCTTCCATGTTTGGATGCTCCTGCTATGCAGAATGCACTTGTTAATCGTTCTTCACTTTCTAGATTCTACAATTATTTGAAATTAAATTATCAAGTAAAACAGTTTTTATTCTAATTTTCTGAATAGTATAAGGATTCATATGAAAGTTTACTCCTCAGGTTGTATATCTACACATTCTAAATATTTTAGTTATTGTGTCCAAAATGCAATAATTATTTACATCACGCTTGTTCAAGTAATAATTTTCGTCCCGCATTTTATAATTTTTCTCGCATTTACAATATGTCAGTACTTTGGAAATTTCCAACACTTGATCGGACTCCATTTTCCAAATGATACAGTTGTCCGCGTTAAACTTTCGTTCTAAATGCTATGGTTAATAATATTAAACCTTTTAATTGCGTCGTTCTTACTCCTAACTATTGGTCGCGTGGAACAACATACACATAACGGAAAAGAACCAATGAGGTACATGAAACTGATACTGGGATAAAAGAATGGCTTGATTGCCTTCCGCTTGGGCGGTGGCGAGCTCGTTAAAATACTTGCCCAGGGAGTGTAAAATTGCACGTGTATTCAAATTGTGGTCTATACATGAATTTTTTTTGAATATTGAGTTCTGGAGAATTTGGTATCGAAAACGGAAAAGTTTTCGATTCCTGACCAAATAACAATACGAAATTCGTTACTGGGCGTAAAAGATCCAGAGCCTTATCTCGTAAATGCAGATTATGCTCCAAGTGGCAAAAAAACTATATATTTTTTTTAAATTGCAGTCCAATATCCCGACTTTATTGTAATGGATAAAAGTTTTAAATATGTTTTTGAGAACGTTCCTGTAGGATGAATTCTGACTTCGCATTCGCAGTTTGCAAGACCCGACGCACCATCAAGTTGAATATTCATCGCGAGCACCAGTCGTCAAATATACCGTACACGAGCTCAATGTTTACGTGTCACTGACGTATACACAATCATTGTATTGCGAAGGAAAGCAATATTAAGTTTCATCATAATGTACTATAGTTAACACTACGAAAATACACGCGCATAGAATTTAGTTAATTAACTAAGTAGCAAACTTGCAGAGTTCAGGATAATTAATTGAAGTTTTGTCAGCAACGAACTTAAACTGCGCAACTTCTTTCACCTCTAATCAGATCAACGCTCAATAAACTTTTGTAGCTTTTCACATTTTGTGAAACTAAGAAACACGGAAAGCGAACAATACAGAAAAGGTTTTTGTATTGGACTTCACATGTGGGCCAACATTTATTTTGGGGTTACCGATAGAAAGAAAGGACTACGCGCTCAATACCAAAATAATTCCAGTTTCTTAATAATTCCGGTGTGGCTGATACTTGTGCGGACACCGTAGTAGAATTGGAAACAAATAAATATTAGTAAAGAATTCATTGAATACTTACTGAGCATTTCTGTAGGGCTCATACGGTCCGAAGTAGAGAGAAATTTTGAAGGATGTTTGTTACCACTTCCGTCACAACTCTTCCAGCAGAAGCTTTATGCTGATTGGGTTTTCAAACTTAATACTCTCCTCATAAACATCGGCTTAAGATGTTTCAGTTGCCAATTTAAGGAATCAAAATTTAGAAATGATTTGAAACTGCTCCGTGCCTCAGCGACAAGCTTTCGGACTAGGGTCGATCTGCGACTAATTTCAATTTTCCAGATCACAAAAACAAAGTATTACCAAAACCATTTCTTTTCTCATAACCTGCAGCGAATAAAAAAAGAGATTTAAAATAGCATCAGTGAGAATATGAAGACATATTTTTGAGACTGGAAGCAAAACTGGTCAAATTTATCGGAGACAGGATAGAGCACAGCTTATGCCTCCCTAAAGCCTCCATGCACTTTAAACATCAAAATTTTCAGCTAAATACATCTAACCGTGACATATTTTCTATCACTCTAATTAACATAACGTTTTACTTCTTAATATGTGGTTTATCAGGCTAATTGAAGCTGTAAACTACCGAAAAAGAGCTGAAATGCACGACACACACGCGTCCGACAATGGCGTCCGCTACTTCTGAGCTACACGGGCCAGAGGGAGCCACCGCCGACATCGATCCTGCGCGCGCTGCCACAACACCGAGAGCTGCGCACGGCGCCTGCCCAGCGCTGCCTTCAAACATTCCTACTTGCAGTTCCTTCAGTTCTGACATGCAGATTAATTGGCTGCCTTCAAACATTCCTACTTGCAGTTCCTTCAGTTCTGACATGCAGATTAATTGGCTGCCTTCAAACATTCCTACTTGCAGTTCCTTCAGTTCTGACATGCAGATTAATTTTTATAATGGCACAGTTATATTAGATTATTGATGTATGTTAGTTTGTTTAGTGATGAAGCTGAGTTAGTTTATATATTTAGTTTTTTGGCAGTGATTTGAAAGTTTGAGGACTATGCGAGTTTGGAATCTAGGTCATTTCAATAGGATAACATAATAGTTATCAAGTTCATCTTAAGTTATTTTGTCTCTCGGAATTTATCTTACTAGAATTATGAATGATTTTTAAATTCTGAAGTAATTGTTTCCAAGTATGAGGCTGGTTGGGCCAGATGACTGAAATTGCCATCAGGACCGGAATTTAAGAGATAAATTCTCACTGAAGTTATTAGAATACGACACAGTAAAAGAAATACGGGGAACTTATATTCCAACGTACAACTAGCAACGATACTATGATCCTATGAGAGCAATATTTAGGCAAAGTTAAGAACAGTCTACGGATAATAACTTGAAAATTTAACTACCTCAGCAACCTTTGGGAATAAATTGGGTTTTCGCTACAGGAGCACTAATTCCAGTTTTTGTTGGTTATCAAGTTATTTTTGTCAATTTATCTGCTGAAAAGCTCAAATTAGGCTATTTATTGATTTGCACAAAAATTTGGTTGTACTGTATGGTGGCGATGCAATATATAGTGCTTCGATATTTAAGTTGAAAAGCTCTACTAATTTCAATTATAAATACAAATTCTCTTTTGGACAAATATTCTGTGATAATTTTTGTGCATACGATCGAAAAAAAAATCGAACACAATAACCTTTTTTATGATTTTTTTATGAGTTAATGGTCTTTATATTTCTTCATTATATTTGATCACTGTATAAAATCGAAGATGAGTTAACAGTAAAGGAAATTCGCATAGATTTTAAGAATTGACATCATAAGTTTTCCATGATGAGTAAATAAAAGTAGAGCTTAGGGTAAGGATTCAGTTCTGGGTAAGCCGATTTAACTACAAGCAACCTTGATTATTATTAATCGAGGTATTTATATATATGTAGTTGGGTTTGAAATTTTGAGGAACATTCGACATTAAGGGGAATTCAAATCGTTAAAAAGCCTGCCATTGAATAACAAAGTTTCATGTCCAAACAAAACCGGATAAAGACCAGGGCTGGTGCTAGACATACCTCTACAAAATAATAAATAAAAAGATTCTTGTATTCCATCACAGAAACAAAATATTTAGTCGCTACCGGCCTTACAGAGAGACAATCAATCAAAAAGAACACAAGACTCATTTTATCAGTATTGCTACTACACCAAATATCTGTAATATTATCATCAGCAGAAGCACCAATTATTGCGGCACCAATCACTGTGACAATACCTGCAATGATATCCCTGTTATATCACTTGCAGATGCGAAGAAGATAATAATGCTACGATGATTATGAATATCCGAACAGTATCGGAAATACCGGAAGTAATTTTCTCTCCAGCATGTATCACTTCGCGAGAAGCAGGGCTCTACAATCCATTATTACCGCCTACATGACGACCCGTGTCGTAACGCCGGAGCTTGTTAACCGTTACTTTAGTGCTCAAACTTCACGAGCGTAAAAAATAAGAGCGTGGATGGCATGAGGGTGACATAAATTCAGCCACTGAGAGGGCTCTAGTTCTGTATAAGGACGTTCATCTTTCACCCTCTTATTTTATTTTATTTTTTTTATTATTATTTACCCTCTTATTGAAAATCGCTATCAGTGAACTTTCTTGTTTTGTTTTAATTATGTAGTATCTATTAATTATACCATGAAAGAGAAATGAGAATTAAGCTATTGGTGTTATAGTCTATATTTTTAATTGAAAGACAAATTCAACTGTTTTATTGACGTTCTTTTCCTTACAGCGTGGTTTGCCTAGCTCGAAATCAATATCATTAATACATAGCCCCATATTTTGCCCATTACTAACCACTTTAGTATACGTATGGCCACAATACCAGCTTCAAAATAAAACTATTTCTACCTAACTTCGAATTAAAACGATTTCTAGCTAAGAAAAAACTAAGCCTGATATCTTAATAATTATGATTAAGACTGATATACTTGATATTAGGATTTCTTCTCATAACAACTTTTTCGGCATAATCTACGAATTTAAACTCAAAATCGGAACAACGATCAGTAATACTAACTTGTTTGTGAAAAGTTAGGCAGATCGATCGCTCCATGAACGCTCCATGAAAGTTCTTTTGTTATTATATAAGACCCGAAGTTATGCTTGAAGATGAAACATGCCTTGAAATAAATGACCCGGAAATTAAACACTAATGCTCTGGAATATTCGCGGTAACAATTTATCTTATTTATCTGAGAAAATATACATACCCTCGCAGGTATCATCGATAATTTCTGACCAGTATATCGGTGATCAATGAATGTCAGACCATGCGCGCTATATACGTGTAATTCACTTTAGTTTATCCTTTGGATAAAGTAGCGAGCTTTGGATATGTCGATGGCAAGATTTTTCAAGGATCGATCTACTGGCAGATTTATAGTGCAAGCTCAATTTGAAATTTATGTCTTGCTCCGTTTGAATTCAAGCGCTTCTGACCCTCAAAATTAGTACTCTTAGGTTTAAGTTTTTCTTGAATGCAATTTACAATGTGGAACAACCACAGGGTGTTTCGCAAAAGCCTCCTGATTTGAAAGCTCAATAACCAAAAACTAGTAAAGAGATCATTATAATATAATTTTTTTTTTTAAAATACATTACTTGAATTTTTCTATCATTTTGTCTTAAGGATGACATCGGACAAATGACGGCCCATTTGTCCATGCTGCTGGTCGATTTTTAGCGCATTTTCTCATTTATGAAAAAAGGCGCTATTTTGCTCGTCATGTCCGTCCGTCCGTGACTGTCCGTCCATGACCTCACGTCACGGATGGACGAGAAAATGCGTTCTCTGTCACTCACTGCAGTGAGTACTGATCTAATTTTACTGATCAACTCACTAAAGTATATTGACGGCACCATCTATGACCGGCTTCGTGATTTTTTTATCGGATTAACTTAAATCAATTGTTTACAATGACTGTCCAATTAAGGACCCTACCTCATTTGAAGAACAACATACGCCAAGCCATCTCCAACATACCCGTCAATATGCCTCAGCGAGTTGAACGGAACTTCAAAAACGTACTAACTGAATGCATGGACAATCAGGGCCGTCATTTGTCAGATGTCCATGGTACTAAAATTCAGGTAATGTCTTTTTGAATAAAATTTATTTTGTGATGATATCTTTGCTAGTTCTTTCTCAGCATTTATTTTCTAGCGCATTTTCTCATTTATGGAAAAAGGCGCTATTGTGCTCGCCATGTCCATCCGTCCGTCCGTCTGTCTGTCCGTCTGTCTGTCTGTTCGTGACATCACGTTTTCGTCGACGAGAAAATGCGCTCTCTGTTACTCACTGCAGTTAGTACTGAGTTATATTTTTATTGAATTCTCAAGTCAGAAAGTTTCCGTGAATCACCCTGTATAATAAAACGGGAAGTTCTTACAGTGAGTTTTTAAACGAATACTGAGAACTGCTAGAACCTATCGCTGGTTACAGGCATGGATTTGAAATAATTCGATCGAATACAATAAATGTAGTAAACTGTTTCATTAAACTTGCTATAATTTTCAAAAAAAGAATTCTTACGAACAATATGAAACTCACTAGAGTCAATTAAAATAATTTGTGTACGTCTATTTTTCTTTTTCCTCTATAATTTGGTTCTATTATTAAATGATCATTCAAGATTGGTGACTGTAAGAGACTAAAAACCGTTCTCGTACCGATAGTAATACCCAGGCGTTTGTCACTGAAGGAACGCGTATCAAAGTTTTGGGACCACTCAGTTGGCCGTGTAAGTCAGTAGCCTTGTAAGTCAGCTAGTTGACCGTGTAAGTCAGTTGGCCGTGTAAGTCAGTAGCCTTGTAAGTCAGCTAGTTGACCGTGTAAGTCAGTTGGCCGTGTAAGTCAGTCGGCCGTGTAAGTCAGTTGGCCTTGTAAGTCAGTTGACCATGTAAGCGAGCATGTGAGTCAAGGCGACTCATGGAGGCAGTGTCGCATAATTCAATATGGCGGCAGCACTTCCCTTGATCAGCTCTCCGTCCACTTTCATACTCCTTCCCACCCCCAGCCCATCCCACCTCCTTCATCCTTCCTTATTTCTCATCTTCTTGATTCTAATCTTATTTGTTATCTCTTCTTGCGCCCCATTTTTGCATCGCTCCTTACTTTCCTCATGTAGTACAGTCTTCCAGTCAAGCGTTGACTGAGACCATTGTTGACTGCATGTTTTTCCCGTCAAGCGAGTCATGGAGCGCGTCATGTGGCGAGTCATGGAGCGAGTCATGGCGCGAGTCATGGAGCGAGTCATGGAGCGAGTCATGAAGCGAGTCATGGAGCGCGTCATGGAGCGAGTCATGGAGCGAGTCATGTAGTGAGACATGGATCGAATCCTGGAGCGTGTCATGGAGCGAGTCATAGAGCGAGTCACGAAATAAGTCATGGAGCGAGTCATGTAGTGAGTCATGGAGCGAGTCATGCAGTGAGTCATGGAGCGAGTCATGTCGTGAGTCATGGAGCGAGTCATAGAGCGAGTCACGAAATGAGTCATGGAGTGACCCATGGAGAGAGTCATGGAATGAGCCATGAAGCGAGTTATGGATCGAGTCATGGAGCGAGTCATAGAGCGAGTCACGAAATGAGTCACGAAGCGCGTCATGTAGTGAGCCATGGAGCGAGTCATGTCGTGAGTCATGGAGCGAGTCATAGAGCGATTCACGAAATGAGTCATGGAGCGAGTCATGGAGTGAGCCATGGAGAGAGTCATAGAATCAGCCATGAAGCGAGTTATGGATCGAGTCATGGAGCGAGTCATAGAGTGAGTCACTAAATGAGCCATGGAGCGAGTCATGTAGTGAGTCATAGAGCGAGTCACGAAATGAGCCATGGAGCGAGTCATGTAGTGAGTCATGGAGCGAGTCATGGAGTGAGTCATGGAGTGAGTCATGTAGTGAGTCATGGAGCGAGTCATAGAGTGAGCCATGGAGCGAGTCATGTCGTGAGTCATAGAGCGAGTCACGAAATGAGCCATGGAGCGAGTCATGTAGTGAGTCATGGAGCGAGTCATGTAGTGAGTCTTGGAGCGAGTCATGCAGTGAGTCATGGAGCGAGTCATAGAGCGAGTCACGAAATGAGCCATGGAGCGAGTCATAAAGTGAGTCATGGAGCGAGTCATGGAGTGAGTCATGGAGCGAGTCATAGAGCGAGTCACGAAATGAGCCATGGAGCGAGTCACGTAGTGAGTCATGGAGCCAGTCATGTTGTGAGTCATGGAGCGAGTCATAGAGCGAGTCACGAAATGAGCCATGGAGCGAGTCATGTAGTGAGTCATGGAGCGAGTCATGGAGTGAGCCATGGAGCGAGTCATAGAGCGAGTCACGAAATGAGTCATGGAGTGAGTCATGGAGCGAGTCATAGAGCGAGTCATGTATCGAGTCATGGAGCGAGTCACGAAACGATTCATGGATCGAAGTGGAGCTCTAACACGCAATAAAGTGAGTTTGTTTTTTGACCAGCATGTTACTCACGCATGTTAGCTCTCTAACTCACTTATGTTACGGAGTGTGTGATTCCCAAGGTGACTTAGCGAAGTTCCCATGGGTCTGGAAACAATAAATATAGAAATTATGTAACCACTGCAAAATAGCTGTTTTGTTGAATAATTTTAAGAAAGTCGATGTTTCTTTTATCCTCTTTTAATGATGACAAAACCCATCATAAATGAAGCTACTATCGCAATAATGTTGCTAAACTCGGTGCAATATTTGCTTGCTTATTATTCTCAAATTCAAATTTCTGGAGCAAAAATTCATAAATTGCTTACGTGAATCAACATTTTTTAATCGAATTATTATGCCTAATAGAATTCTTAATTCTGACCACATCGTAATAGTTAAGAAAACGTAGAATTGTACCTCAAATTTAAAAAATTCTATGTGTTTAGACATAAAGTGAATTCTCTGCACATCGAAAATTAATTTATTCTCATACTTCAGTTCTCAAAAACGCAACGGCCAGTCCAGTGAAAAGAGGTGAAGTTTAGTGTCCCTGCAACCGACACCTTAAAGTTACTGTCGGAACTTTCGACTCGAATTTCAAGGGCAACGGTTATTGCCACTCATACCTGCACTTGTGACGGAGAAGCTGAGCACAGAAAAAGGATATCAAGTCGCACACTTATTAGCTTTGTAGAAATAATTCGTCCGGATCACTACTGAAGATATTCATGAATATTTGAAGTTATAAATATTATTCTTCCGGAATTCAGATGAAGGTTTAAATTGATTCAGAAGTTTTGACGACATCGTAAAGATGAGTTAGGAGGTTATGTCATGAGTGACGGAGATGAATTTTTGCCGTTAATTGAGCTATTGTGATGGATTTCTATGCTTTTCTTAAATATGTCAGTGGACCAATAAATGAAGCTATCGTATATTTCCTACATTAAGAACCGCGTCAGGCACTTCTTTCAACATCAATTAAATGGCCGAGACGCGAAACAGTAAATTTGATAAGCCATCATTCGTGTCAACTATGAAGAAAACCCAGTTATAGTGCGACAAATCTTTTTTGTATGTCAATTATGCACAAATTGTCATATTAAAAAATTTTGGTCTTCAGACCACTAGCATGCCTTCCGCGTGGAAAAATCGAATGTAAACTATCGGAAGGCAGCTAAGAAAAAACCTCCTTATATCCACGGGTCTCGTACATTGAACGTTTTATATAGTACGTTATTACAGCTAAATTTATGCTGTAATGTTAGACAGAGATTTAGGTAAAGAGTGAAAGCATTATAGAGATGGAATTCAAACTAAAATGTAAGTGTTTTGGCAGTCCTGCCAGTTTTGATTGAACGAAGAGCATAGAGAGCTGTATATTTGCTTTATTTACAATATCTTCTATTGCGGGTTAGTTTTTAGTGACATTATTGTAGATTTATGATAGACTTGTAAATCAAAAATGAGTTGTTCTAACATTTTCTTTGTTCTAGTAAATAATCATGTTACCGTAAATTTTATATTAAATATTATTTGCACGTAGAAGCAACTATACGGAAGGAAAAAATTACTGATGTACCAGTTCTTTCTATTTATTTCAGAATGCTGCAATGATCTTGAATGGATATGATTTCGGGAATAGTTACTCTTCAGTTCTCAGTTCTTGGCCGCTACCTTTGAACAAATGCCTCAATGATTGGGAGTCACCGATGCCAAAAGCGGCAAGTTTCTTCCTTTAAATCTCCTGAATGGGGAAACTTTATTTCTTAGAGGGTATAACCGCATTGACATGAAATTGATACTTCTGAAGATCACGAGATGCACTTAACGAATTTTTGCATACTTGCTTGTGATTAATTCTTGAATAGTTTTTTTTTTGTGGGGCGATTGATGATTCCACAAAACAACAGCAGGTCCCCTGGACAATTGGAGGCAAAAGGAAACAAAAGTTTCGTGAGTGGCTGCTGCATTCTTTGTGGCAGTTACACGCAAGTTTCTGAGCAGGATCTTAGCGCTGCATTCAAAGCACGTTGATTGCCTGCTAATTAGAAAACTTCTTAGATGGACGATCACATCTCGGTTGCTGGAGCTGTTGCACAAACAGTTTTGTGAACGTCCTGCTACCGACTGTTGGGGTCACATGGTTTGGGGCTTTTATTATAAAGGCTATTGACATATGGTGCGGCAGACGTTCATTTAATTAGTTTATGGTTCGATTACTGATGGTTTTAATACAACAAATATTTTTTTGCTGGTACTGAAATCTTCCATTAAAGTGATCACGAATTTGAGAATTGATCTCAATAAATTTTAGGTAAAAATCCCCATGCTGTTACGGGTGCGTCGGAGTTCATATTGATTTATAAAATCATTTTTCATGTATGGTTTTAAAATGAATTCTATGAATAAGTGTAAACATAGAAAACGTCAAGGTTTTCCTGTTATGATACTGTGAACTAAAATTGCTCTCAAACCACAAATTGATCTTAATCTGGAACGTACATCCGGAAAATAATTGCCTAAAAAGATCTGTGATTTTTCTTACTCGTTTCCGGCGACGCACTTGGAATCCTTCTTTGGAATTTGAAGCGCGACGCAAAATGGACGAGACTGAAATATTTTTTGGGCTTCAAAAATATTTTAGCCTTTATTCTTGATTATACTTTGATCCAATGTAAACTTGTTATTTTTTCCGCATTAATCGTAACTTGAATAGTGTTTCTAAAGTCTATCTATGACGTGTCTAGCCTATTAATTTAAAGGTGCTGTGTTGTAGCTGTAGAATGACGATGAGTTCTACAGTAAGAGTGAGCGTATAAGCGATTATAAGTGAGCGTTATGGTGATTCTTGATGTATGTTCCAAAGCGGCAGAGTGTAAATTACTGTCCAACTTGATTTGACTGCAGGCGTTGCAAGTTTGATTCGGTGGTTCAGAAATACATGCTACTAACCGATTATTATAGGTAAACAGCTATAACAGTTATTTTTCGTAAGTTATAACACTTAGTTGTTAACAACTATAAAGGTTATTTGTTAACTATTATTACAATTCTTTGTTAACTGTTTCATCTGACTGAATATCTTATCAGAAAGCCGACAGGATAACGCTTGTGCTGCATTCTCGATGATCCTTAATGATTATTGCAAATTTTCTACCAAGCATGTCGGATTTAATTTTTTAATTCAGCCAAAAAATCTATTTCTTTTTAATCTGCATTAAGTTGTGCGTTGCTTGGAGACGCATGAAGTGGTCATTCCATCAGGTACGTCAGGTGATCATCAATAACTCTTTACATTAAATGCAGGTGGGCCAAAATTGTTGATAGATGTAGACTAAATATTATAAATTAACAGCAAGCGCTTGAACGTAAGTAATAGAAATATTGGGACGACCGCCATTGCTTCTCCATTCCATTATTTGCTTATTATTATTAACTGTATGACATATAATGATCCAAATGATCTATTTCTTGGTGATCATTCATGCAAATTTTTTGTAAGGTAACCATTAACAGAATTAATTTTAATTTCACAAAAAGAATCGAAAAAATTAATACCAAGACATGAAATTGTCTAACAAACGTTCTATTTTCAGGGTTCTAGTCGTGCTAGCTCCATAAGAAGTGTGCTGCAAAACAATGTGTGTAGTAAACATTTTTCAGGGAGTAACAAGAGCGGCGTTACAGGAGTGACAAAAATGGATCCAATTTGGAAGATTTTTGTCCACTGAAAATAAACAAGGTACGGAAAAGTCGGGCATTCTAGCGCGATATGAGCAATCAAATATGGCCGTCGGCGAACAGTTTTCAGGCGACTAAATAAATTTCCTCTCCTGAAATTGAGGAAACGTTCTCGGTGGTGCACACGAAGCTCAAACCGCCTAATAATTACTGTATAAAATTTATTACTTGGCGAATGATTTTAATGACATCAGCGTTCGCGTAACCTTCTTGGCAGTAATGCTTATACTCGTATTCGTCCGCACTTTTAATAATGCTTACGGACAATATGGTTCCTAAGTTATTATAAAAAATCTATACGTGCTATGGATAAATCTCCGGCTGCCATAGGGGATTCGAATATTTTGTCTTAGTGGTTCAGCAAATCATAAAAATTCAACTGCGTTTTTCACAGAACAGTTTAAATACGATATTAGATTTATAAATATTAACTCACCTTTCCCTTGTTTGTCTCTTAAAACACAATGGAACTTGATTAAGTTTGAAAAGCCAACATTTCTAAACGTTTTCTAAGAAAATACTAAACTAAAAAGCAAAAAAAAAAAATATTTTGTATTCCGAATCCACATTTCCCATTTGTAATACTTAGTGTTGAAGCGTTAAAAATACCATCTCAGATCAAGGTATTATACCGACGCAAAAGGCATTGTGAATGCGCCAATAAAGTTTAAGCACCAGTCTTCAAAATTGGTTCTTTTTCCGGGAAACAAACGCATTGGAAGTAGCACTGATACATACAAAGCTCTGAAATATGACACATGTACACAGATCGAGATAATTTTTAGTTGGCGTCCGAGAGAAAAACGCGGTCAACGAGTTGTCTGCCTTGTTGTTGTTGGCGTTCAACGTTTCGAGTAACACGACTATATTTTTTATAAAGAGTTGTTGATTCCGTAGTGAAGACGAGTGACTGGCCACTAATAAACAATTTGATTTCGATAGTGTTTTAGTTACTCATCAAAAAGTTAGGTTTTTTTCAATTCACGATTGATTTACAAAAAACGTTTTTATGTATAACTAATCTATTGACTATTCGAGCGATGACACACATTACATTACATTATATTGACTATTGAGCGATGTCACAGTTACATTAGTAAATTTAGTTTTCGAAACAATTTTTTTTCACTCCTGAAATAACTTGAACTTTAAAATTAAAATTTGGGAATAAGATATTCAGTATATTCACTTGCATTATACAATAAACAAAAAATTAAAATTCAAAATTACTAATGCCATGAACATCGCCTTACCTCATTGACATTCTTGATTTAAAAAAATATTGAACATTATTTTTTTTGTGAAATATTGGCGATATCAGCGAATTTACGAGAAATAACAGGCAACAAAAAATTATTTTGTAATGCTCCTGGCAAGATAACCCTGACAGAATATTGGACGATTACAGCACCTTAGCTAAATGGTGATATTGCTAGGTGCCTTTTATTGAAACTCCTGTTAACCATTGATTAGTTGGCCCATCCATAGCTGTCTCTCATGAGATTCTTATTAACTCGCCATGGATAACATTCTCTTAACATTTAAAAGCAATTTTTTTATTTACCTCCTTACTGATACTGACTTTTTTCACGATTCCATATGAAAAAATCGTCTAGAATGCATTTGTGAATTTATTAAGTGGAAAAATTGTGCATTAGTGTTCAGAATAAAAAGTTCTAAACAATTTGTAATTCGAAGCTAAAGCCTA